AGTACGGAATTTGAACAGCAGAAATCAGCGACATCGTTCGGAAATGTGTATTTTGAGCATGATTGGTTTAAATTGGACTGGTTCTAAGCGGCCCCATGATTCGGCTGGATTTGGGGTGGAAGGTGAACATTGCCAGACAAGAATAGTTTAGTGTTGGATTTGGAGTTGGTGTATCCTAGATTGAGTATTGGGAGTCTTTCAGAATCTGAGAAGCTGGGACGCCCCCAAAGCGGTGGGCCGCCTCTTGATCATAGGTCTCCTTTTGATCAGTGTGTTTGATTGGAAATAGATGGGCAAACCACTGGTTTACATTGGGTTCATTCCTGTCACCAACAAAACCCATCTATTTTCAAAAGGACATCTCTTGACAAGGCCATGGGTCAAACTCCCGTACCTGCAGTGAACATCCCAATCCCCCACCAAAACAGGAAGCCTAAAATGGGTGGTGAATTCACCTACCAAAATGACACCATTGGTTTTGATCACCACAGCCATATGGCAGTGGCTCAAAATTAAACAGGAGGGGCAAACCGCAGGTTTTGGTCCATGTTTCCACTTACCAGGGTTTCATTTTGGGACCGGTTTTTTGAGCCATACCCATATCAGGGCCGCCAGCTACTTGCAGCAGCTGGGCGCCTGCGCCAGCCAGCCGCGCAGGTTTCGGGGCCTTTGCTCCGAGATGCTCTGCATGAGGCAGGCGCTGGGGGCCTTTTGGAGGTCTGCCTGGACATAGCGGTGCTCAAAGCCGTTTTGGGATCCCATTTTGGTTGGTAGGTGAACTCACCACCCATGAACCATGAGTTCCTCCAAAAGTGATGATTCCCCACTAAATTAAATAACATCCATGAATAGCGGGTAGGTGCACCACCCATCTTAGAACCTGTTTTTGTGGGGGATTGGGATGTTCACTGGGGGTACGATTTGGATTTTTCCGCCTTCTAAATTCTTTACATGGTTCTGGGTAGACCAGCTTAATACCGGGTTTTGCTTGTGACTCACATGGCGGTGGTCAATCATGGTTGGCGACCAAAATGGATTGCCCGATCGGCAAATGGAGGGAGCAAAGGAGTAAAACCGGATTACCCAATTCCTGGTGGTTTAATTTTGACCCATACCCACATGCCCCGGCAGAAGAGGCAGAAGAGGCTTGCAGAAACTCAGGTTCTAGCTTGGGGCGAGCACACACGCGAGCTTGCTGGAATGGTCAAGCAGCCTTCGGCCAATCACTTTCAAGACTTGCAGATTTCTAGGCAACATGCGAACGTGTCGCCAGCAACATATTTTGGCGAGATCCTAGCAGCATTCCTACCATGAGCGCCATTATGTATGTTATCACCTGAAGTCATGTCGCGCCCATCGGTGACCTCTCACTTGCCATCATGCTCATTGCTTACCGTCAGACCTGCCTTTTGGGCGGGTACCAGATGACGAGTCTCCCAGGATTCCCGAGTCGAGTCGTGTAGCTTCCCCGTACCCGAGCTCCGCTTTCCGCAGGACCACCCGGAATGAGAAGCTGTTGATCGCCGCGCGCGCCAGCAGCTTTCGGCTGCCGAAGCGCAGCACCACGCCCATCATCATGCTGGGCGCCGGCACGGGGCTGGCGCCCTTCCGGGGCTTCGTCCGGGAGTTCCAGGCGGAGAAGGCGGAGAAGTCTTTGAGTACGTCGTGCGGTGGTCAAGTCAAAACCGTTCAACGGGATCCCAGTTGTTTGGTTTGTAGGTGAACTCGCCACCCATTTTAGGCTTCCTGTTTTGGTGGGGGATTGGGATGTGGGATGTTCACTGGGGGTACGGGATTTTGACCCATCACCATGTGCCCTTGCCGTTTGTACCCATGGATGTGTAGAGAAAAGTCCGGTGGCGCCTATCAGGGCGGCGCCCATGGTACATTGAAGTCTTGGAGAGGTGCGTGACCAAGCCTCGGCAAAGAGAGGCGCAGCGAGGGAGGAACGGTTGCAATCTTCGCCATATGCTGTGATTGGCCCACTTGCTGCTTTCTATTAGTCAGGGAAACCAACTAGCACGGACACGGGGGGAACCAGGGATACGGGCGGATTCCCCCTATATGCACCTTGACTAAGTTTGATATGGGAAATGGCGCTCCTTCCGTCTCACCACTTGTTCGTTTGTCCAAACTGGACGGGAATCAGACTCCAATCTGGCCTCTTGACATCAGACCGTCCGTTCAGGGCAGCCGCAGCCGCACCGTGCTCTTCTTCGGATGTACAAAGCGGGACGAGGATTGGGGACTAAGCCGCAGGTTTGCGGAGTTGCCTCTTTTCTCTTCTTTTTTTTTTCGAGGGCGGCTGGAGTTGGAAAAAATACCGCCCTCAACACAATGCTTTACTCCTTGGTTGTTTACCTCATATGTTCCATTCGCCAGGTTGGAACCTGACTGACTCCTTTGGAGCAACAGACGCGGGCTTAAGTCATTAAGTGGCAACCTGCCGCCTCGGCGCAAACTCGGCCTCCGTGAGGACTTCATTTACAGAGAGGAGCTG